CCCTGGCAGACTGGAATCTTTCGCTTTTGTTCGACCAGGATTGCTAACACCTGAGAGATGTCTTTGGTTCCAGAAGAAAAGTTTGCTGCTGAGTGCATTGCAAATGTAATTTGATCCCACTGTCGATCTACTCCAGCACGTCACTGTGCTCCTAGCTCCTGCCCCAGCTTCTCCTCATAACGTGCGCGGACAGACGGATCGCAAAGACAATGATGAGTTAACTGAGGAAGCGATTGCTGTCGATGACCGATGAGTCGAAGAATGAAGCGCATCACGACTAATGCATGATCCGAGTTACCGCATGTGGTCCAATAGGATCTGCAATTCTGTACTGAACCACGACAATAGTATCTAACGAATATGTAGTTGATTTGGGTCAAATTTCCCGTTGAATTAGAACATCACGTAGCCGTCCCACGAGAGTTGTATCGAAAGTTGGTGCTAGATAGAAACAACCGATGATCCGCGCAAAACTGAAGTAGTCGTTCATCGTTGTCTGTTCGCTGAACGGGTTGTGCAGTATTCCCCTAGGCAGGCTTAGAATGAGCTTAGTTTTCCAACCCGCACGTTGAAATCACCTGCCGGCACTATAACATCAGAGCTACGGCTCAAACGGATGAGTTCAGCGAGTTTGACCTTGGATTCGTCCTACTATGAAATGGTGCACATGCGAAATGATGCACAAACACCCTTTGATGCTGCTGCCCTTCAGAATACTGAACTCTGGAGCCACATTGAGCACAAACGACTATTGACGGGTATCCAACCTATCAGGGAGACTTCAGCTTTATCGTTTAGTACGATTCCTACATCACGCTGACCCAATGAGCGGGCTTCATCGTCTCTTGACGTACGAAAGAAATACGTTGAGGACAGACCCGGCGCACTCAGATGGCTCATCATACTACGATCTTGAATTCGTATCTCCGATAGGCAACAGATATCAATTTCCAAAGACTTTCTTGTGCTCCAAAAGACACGCCTAGTGACTGACCTCCATCACATTCCTCAAGTTGAAAGACCCCAGATTGAGAGGTTGGCGAGGCACTGTATTTACTGGTAAACTACTTACAGTGCTATCTGGTAACGACCTTTGGCGAGTGACGAACAAGTTGGAATGTTACGGATCCGAAGAAGGAGCAAAGGGAGAGGGTTGTATATAGAAGACAACGGCTGGGATGTCTGAGCAGTAGCCCGCTTTTCGCTACCCACCCTGCTCGATGAGGCTCAATGAGGCTCTGATTATGTGCGCAACGACGGATGCAGTATGAGAATATTCTTTTGTTTGTGTATTCATTGGAGCTTTATGGACAGGTACTGCCAGGGAGAAAGATTAGAGTTCTCAACCAAAGTTGGGTGGCAGTGGCGGGGCTCGAGCCTACGAATTTAGGGTCCAAAGCACACCTTTGGCAGCTATTAAACCACTGCGCCACCCGTTATGTGATTAAGTAATCAGTAGAATACACAAGTACTGGAAGCGAATGCGTGAAAAGCTCATTAGAAAGATCAAAACGCGATTACTATCAAAACCACTTACACAGGAATTTCCTCAGGTGGTATGTATCCCTCCTTAACACGTCGGGGTTTCCTCCATGTGCCATCGGGTCGTTGTGTAGCGGGAATCACCAGGTTTCCTGAACGTAAACAGTAAAATTGACCGTATTTGAAAAACGTACCATCTTTGTCTCTCACTACACCTTCCCGAATCATCGAGTAAAAATAAAAATATGCTGCAATATAAAGCAGAGCACAGATTGTTGTTGGTAAATCATAAAGCCCAAACTGTGTTCAATGTCTCCTCGTCCTTACCTCATTATATTACTCGCTTTTGTGTATAATCACAAACTTTTAAAAAGAGCAATGGAACATAATGGTAGCATCCGACGTCTTTTGATAGAAATTGAGATGACTGCCTATGGGTCCATCATAACCTCAATATTGAGGTTATAGTATATGCAAGCCAGTTATTGTCAAGCCAGGAAGGGCAATGGTAGAGGTCAAAAGAAGTTCAATCTTCGGGTCCTCCAGGTTGAGGGTTCGACTGAAATTTACGTTACAGTCGGTAAAAAGCGGTGGAGTAATCGATCCAAGTAAATGGGCCTCCAATCCGCCTTAACCGCTGCCTTGCGGTTAGGTTTTCGTCAAAACTAAAGGCTTTGGTTGAGAACCTTAATCATTCTCCTGCTTAGTGGCTGGAAACCCTGGCAGTAACCGTCCATAAAGCTCCAAGGAACACACAAACATTAGATAATTTCATACTTATCGGTCGTCGCGCAGGATAATCAGGACCGCGCTGCCCACTGCATCGAGCGGGGTGGGTAGTGATAAGTGAGCTATTGCTCATATATTTCTACCTTTAATTGATTCTGTCTTCAGTACCCAACCCTCCTCATTTTCCCTTCTTCCGACCTGCAATAGTCCCTCAAACAACTTGGATATCGCTCATCAAAGGTCGTTACGAAATAACACTGTAAGTAATGTATCACGAAACGAATTGCAGATTCGAAAGCCTAGTCAGTCACTGAATCTGGGGGTCCAGAGGATCCTGATTCGGGTAGACCAACAAGCTTGTCTGGCGCGTACAATGGAATCCTTAGGGATCACATTTGCTGCGTGTCGGAGACTCGAATCCAGGATTCTACTACTGCAAGCCACTTGAGCGCGCCGGATTTGTCCTCGAGCTACGTTCTTCGCATATCACGGGTGACGATGAAGCTCGTTCAGTAGGACAGCGCGGGGTAGGTATTGTACTCAGCAACGGGTCGGAGCTCTCTCTTATTGATTGGATCCCTGTCACAGCCGTTTATGTGCGATGCGTCTCCAGGGTTCAATCAGTGTCCAGAAGGGAAGCAACACCAAAAGGTGTTTGTTCATCGTATCAGCATATGCACCGACCAATTGTAGTTCTGATACCCAAAAGGCCGCTTTCTACGACAAACTCACCAATCTCATTCGGACGAGTCGAAGTTCCGACATAGTTGTACTTGCACGTAACTTTAACGCGCAGGTTGGAAAAGTGGGCGTTTCGGAAGTTTCCTTAGGTGGTAGTTGTGCTCTGCCCAGCCAACGAAGAGATAACGGTGATCGACTTCTTCAGTTATGCGCAGACCATCATCTCTTCCTATCAAGCACTAACTTCCGACGGACGGCAAAGTGGCGCTCCAGTTCCACTTGTACGCTAACTCAAATCGACCACATAGCAGTAAGTTACCGCTGGCATGGTTCAGTGCAAAATTGCAGGTCCGTTTGGACCACCTGCGTTGAGTTTGATCACGCATTAGTTTTGATGCAGTTCATTCTCCGACTGACTGGTCGGCGACAGAACCAGCAAACTCGGATAGCTTATCATTGACTATCTTTCCCAGTAGTTCGTGTGCGCTATGAATCAGAGCTGGTGCGTCGGCCAAGGCCACCTCAACCTGATGATGTAGATGAGCAATGGGATCAGATTAGGCGAGCAATGCATTCCNTTCCGCAGCGAATGTTGCTTGTAGGTCTGAGCCTCAAGCCCGTCGGAGGCATTGGATATCTCAGGAGTCAGTAGCCCTGATGGAGAAAAAACGACAAATCCCGATCAGCCAGGATCAAAAAAGAGTTAGGTGGAATCTACAACGTCAGCTTACGAAGAGCCTCAAGAAGGACCATGAGAACTGGTGGGTAACAATAGCTAGTGAAATGGAAGTAGCAGCTGTATCGGAGAATGGTCAGACGGTTCCGACTGATACACAATGCGGGAGGTGAGAAGTGTGGTTAGTGAAACAGTCCGTAACAAGACGGAACAAGCTATTCACAATAGGGATCAACGACTTGATCGCTGGGTAGAATACTTCAGAGAACAGTTCAGCTGGCCTGCCGCTAACCAGGTTGCCTCACCTGCAACTGAAGCTCCTTGGGCAGTCGTCGGAAGCAGAAGTTCGGTCTTGCATTCAGGCTCTGAAGCGAGGAAAGACAGCAGGACCATATGAGCTCCCACTCAATCTTTTCGTAAGCTGTACTACTACCTTACTGTGCAACGTTTGGACGCA